TTATAATCTTTTGCCTTTTTTCTTTTTATTAAAATAGAAAAGGGGAAGTATGGTGATACTTTATTTGTACTGAAATGTGATTTTAATTTTATGTTAATAAATAAAGTTGCCCTGGGGTCAGAGCTATTAGAGTCATAGCAAGAGCATGGTGGTTAGAAGAGCTAGGTAGATTTCTGTCTGTTCAGGGATACAGCCAGTATTGGAGATATACGCATTTAAGACCTGGAGGGTGGTACTTACAGGCAGTGACGAGGCAGTCATGTGGTTTACAACCAATGAGAAGGTAGAACAGAAAGACTATTTAAAGACAGACAAACAGGAAGAAGCTCTCTCTTGGAGAAGCTAGGAGCACTGCAGGAGGTAAGATTTTAGCTCTGAGCTCTGACCTCTTGGCTTTCTCTTTAACATTGGCTCTGTGTTTCTTATTTTAATAAGATGATTGGTTACATCTACACACATCCTCACCAAAACCGTTGTTATGCCTTGTAGCAGTTTGTTTGGGGTCCCAGTTTCAGTTTGTACTCAGCTGGCTCCACTGCTTTGGGCATGAAAATGGGGCAGAGCATCATGTGGGGAGGCTGTAAAGGAGCAGAACTGTTCACCTCACAGTGTCCGGCAGTGAAATCCAGAAACAGTGTGTGAGGGGTGGGAACAAGATGGACCCTTCCAGGCTACCCCCCTACCCCTCCCCTCCCCTGGCTACCTACTTCATCCACCCAGGCCCAGCTTCCTGTTTCTATTGATTTGCCTGTTTACATAGACACACATGGACACACACACACACACTCACACATGCAATTCCCTTTCAAGCAAAACATGGACACTTAAGCAGTCTGTGTTATGATGAGAGAATATAAAAAAAAACCATTACTTATAAATGTCAATGCAAAACATTGATAAAACATTAGCATCATGTAGATAGAATATGTAATAGTAAATGAACTCTAATCCTGCATAAAAACAGTAAGATATTATGGCTAAGTGGAATATTTTAGGAGGTGATGTTGGATCAATAATAAGAAACTGCTAAGAAAGTCCATATTAATAGATTGTTTCTACTGAAATTAGGCTCCTGTTCATGACTTTAAAACATTAAAGAATGTAAGAATTGATTAACACCTTCCTAATGAATATATATGATATAATCTATCTATCTAGTCTTAAGGTTATTATTTTAGTAAGGGAAACATTATAATCATAAGATACTTATAATATCAGGAACATATTAGTATGCTGTATTAGCTATTTTTCATTGCTGTGATAAAACACTGTGACCAGAAATGGCTTACAGAAGAGAGAAGGGAGAGTCTGCAATGTCGGAGAAACATGGCAGCTGGCAGCCAGAGCAGGAAGCTGAGAGAACACATCTTCAACTGTAAACAAAGTAGAGAGGGCAAACCTGAAGCGGGAGGAGGCTATGAACTCTCACAGTTCCCCCCAGTGATGAACTTCCAGCAAGGCTGCACCTCCTAAGGTTCTGTAACTGGCCCCAAGTGCTACCAACCAGGGACCAAGTGTTCAAAGACATGAGCCTTCGGGGGGACATTTCTCATTCAAATACCTGCTAATAGTGTCATTGTCAGCCAATGTAATAAGACTAGAAAAGTCAGAGTCCTAGGAATAGTTATGAATTCTTCCCATTAGCAGATGATGTGGTGGTATCCCTAGGAATCTTGATATTCAAAAGTACTGCCAAAGTAGAATCTCAATCTCTCTCTCTCTCTCTCTCTCTCTCTCTCTCTCTCTCTCTCTCTCTCTCTCTCATATTCTTTTTAAGTACAAATAACGTGTAGTTTAAAAAGACATAGAGGAAGCCTTGGTAGAAGAGCCACAGAGAAGGTTAACCAATTAGGAAAGAGAAAAATCACTGGACCTGCAATTTCAGCTACTCAGGAGGCTGAGTCAGGAGCACTGAAAATTCAAGGCCTGTTTGAAACATGGACTGAATTCAAGACCAGCCCGAACAAATTGCTAGAACCTCTCTCCAAATAACAATAAAAAAGATTGAGTGTGAGTCTCAGAGGTGGGGTACACTGCCAAGGATATGCAAGGCTCTGAGTTTAATTCCCCATATAGAAAAGAAAAAAATCTAAGATGGAAAAAATTTACAGTGCTTTTGGGCGACAGGAGCAGGCTGAGTGAGATCACCCTTGTATCTGGATCTCTCAGGTCAATATCACGAAGATGCTAATTCTCGCCAAGTAAATGCATAAGTTTAATGCACTCTGAAAACTCCAACAAGCTTTGTTCCATGGAGTTGCTAAAATGCTATGGAAAATTAATGTGTTGAAACAGTCAGGGGAGAACCAAGACATAAAGGGGCATTGACCCTGCCACACATTAAGGAGAACTAAAGTCCAGGTGACCTCTGGAACATGGAAAGACATTGATAGACTGTTAGTTTTTGCCAACTTGATATGAACTAGGTTCCCCTGGGGAGAGGGAGCTTCAGTTGAAGAGTCGGCAAGCCTGTAGGACATTTTCTTGTTTAATGATTGATGTGGAAGGGCTCAGCCTATTGTGAGGGCTGCAACCCTTGGGCGGGTGATCCCGGGCTGTTTGGGAAGGCAAGTTGAGGAAGCCATGGAAGGCAAGCCAGTGAGCAGTATTCCTCCGTGTTCTCTGCTTCAGTTCCTGCCCTTGAGTTCTTGCCTTGGCTTCTTTTGGTTATGAACTGTAATCTGTAAGCTAAAAATAAACCCTTTACTCTCCAAGTTGGTTTTGGTCAGTGTCTTATCACAGCGACAGAAAGCAGACTATGACGATGAGCAGAGGGGTGGACCTGGGTGGTCTGTAGAGTGGTATAACGTGAACTGTTGGATTTGGGTCTCTGTGTTGTGGTTTGGGGTTAAGGGGAAGTTGGGTGAAGAGTGTGTGGAACCTTTATTACCTTCATCACTGTTTTGTGAGTCTGAACATTAAAAGAAAAAGTTAAAACCAAAGGGTAGATTCCCTTAGGCCTTACCCTAGAGATTCTGGCTAAGTAAATCTTGCCAACTCAGGATGATGGTCCTTTACAGCCTCCCTAGAAGCTGCCAGGATTCAGTCTTGGTGGTCATCCTGACTACATTAAGAACTAATCAGATGAATGAAATGCACCGGTGTGTCTGGGGGCACATCTTGAGAGGATTTACATTTGGGACAGTGGCTGGGGTAAGATGGGAAGGAATTGCTCCCACCAGGCAACAGGTAACCCAGTTACAAAAGAAGTCCCTAGGAAATGCATGGTGGGTGCATGTCTGAGGCTTCCCTCCCTCCCTCCCTCCCTCCCTTCCTTCCTTTCTTCCCTCCCTTCTGGCCTCCTTCCTTCCTTCCTTCCTTCCTTCCTTCCTTCCTTCCTTCCTTCCTTCCTTCCTTCCTTCCTCTCTCCCTCCCTCCTTCCTTTCTTCCTTCTTTCCTCCCTCCCTCCCTTCCTGCCTGCCTCCCTTTTTTATTTTTGTTTCTGGTTTTTGAGACAGGATCTCTCTATGTAGCCCTACGCTGTTCTGGAATTCCCTATGTAGACTAGGCTGGCTTTGAACAGAGATCCACCTGCCTCTGCCTCCTAAGTGCTGGGGTTAAAGGCCTGCACCACCACTGCCAGACTGAAGCACCCTTCCTTCTGAATGTATTCTATCCATTGCTGACTTCTTGGGTCTTTCAGCATGGACTCAATATACCAGCAACTCTTCAGGACTGTTCTGAGCTATTCTAGTACCCTGTCTGGGACTTGAACTGATCATGTTCTTTGCTTCCTTGGTGGAGCACTGTTGACTACCTATTACCGCCATGTAAGGCAATCTAATAAATCCCCATACATGTTCTATTCCTCTAGATAACCCTGAGAGGATGAGTAATTTTGTAAGATTCTGTCTTAAGAAGTGCATTCATGTTAACTTTGAAAACCCAAATGACCTTATGAATCAAAAACCCTCTTGATTGAACTGATTCTTCATATCAATTGATATCCATTCCAACCATACTTGGAATAAATTTGGTAATTTTGGGTCACAGTTATTGTGACCAGTGTTGTGGGAATGAAAAAATTAAGACAGTTCTTGTGCCTAAAGAGTCTGTGGTTCACTGGCAAGCATTGGAAAATAACTCCAGTAAAGGACAGAGAATGGTCATGTCCCAATAGAGAGGGACCTGGCATGAGCTACTGGAGGGCAGAATGAGCAGTTGGTTTGTTGGAATGTTCCAAGAGTGAACAATCTAAAAGGCAGTTGGAAGGTGGCTATGAGCAGAGAGGGTCACAGTTGATATGAAGACAGTTGGAGAGAAGATAGGTTAAGGGATAGACGCTGGGATCATGAACAGAATAGGGGCGTTGGTCAAGGATGCTGGTTTGGGAAAGAGAAAAGCCCTGTATCTGCCAGACTTGGTAAGAGACACTGAGAATATTCTAGTTGCACAGGAGCCTACCACAATCTAGGGCAGGCCACTTCAGGCTCTTAGGAACTAGAGCAGCACAGCCATGATGCACTTGAACTTCTGGATGGCATGAACTTAATGCCTCAAGGGAGGGCTAAGGAAAAGCTTTCTGGGGCGCAGGAGAGTTAGAGGCTGGAAGTTGGGGCTGCTTGAGGTTCAGGGGGAGATAGATGTGCACGTGGTTATAGCCCACTGACCTTAGGGAAGGTGGGCCTGCTGGTCAAAGAAGACTCAGCCAGTTAAGATTCGCTCCACCACTATCTGAGGATGAGTTCCAGAGGGAGAAAAGATACCCTGAGGGTAACGGAGTCCTGGGAAGTCTCGGGTTGAAGGCTGTAGGAGAAGAGAGATGCTTAAGCTGGCATCTACTTCAGGTTTACCTTTGTGCTTAAGTACAAGTTCTGTGCCTGTGAGCTTTTTCCTTTTTTAATTTTCTTTCTTCTTTCCTTCCTTCCTCCCTCCCTTCCTCCCTTTTTCTTTTGAGACAAAGTCTCATACAGCCCTGGCTAGCCTCTAACTCTCTCTGTGGCCAATAATAACATTGATTTTCAGCTCTCCCTTCTGCCTCCCTAGTACCCTATAGGGTTAGCTTTGTGTTTCTTACCTCTGAAGCGGGAAAACACTAACACCTAAGCCTCACTGCTGGGTGAGATGGGTTCCTGTGTCTGGGGCTGTGATACAGAAAAGGCACTCAACCAATGTTATCATTAACAAGGGGCAAGAGGAAGCTGAAGGGGCACCCCAAGGAGCCGCAGAGAATACCACGATGCCGCAGAGTCACTGAAGCCCTGTCTGGGAAGGGAAGGGTTCGAGTAGAGAGGAGTCATCGTGGCTTTGTGCACCTGCTGAATGCCAGGTATGTAGCATGCATGGTCACAGACAGTTCTTACCATAGCTTGAGGGGGATTTTCTGTCACCATCCCCACTCTACCATCTCACAGACTTGTGGACCGGAGAAGGCGGTTTGGTTTCATTGTCTAGTGTGGCTACAGGCGACCCTTGACCTAAAGGCTGATTTCCCTCTGAGATAGTCATTTGCAGGGCCCTTTTCAGAGGCCGATGCTGGCCTGAACAGAGATGAACAGACTCTGAGCTGCAGCCTCTGTGAGCTTCCAGGGTGAGGGTGCCTCTATCCTCTCCTGCCACCGCACAGCACCCAATCAAGGACAGAACCAACACCAGAAGGCCGTTCAAAGGCCCAGACTCCCCATGTCCCCAAACTAAACATTTTCTTGGTCTCCCCATGGCCTCTGGGAAGCCCAGGGTGTGAGTGGCTCTCTGTGTCTGCTCTGAGCCTCCATCCCATCCCAAACTTCGGCTCTCACTGCTGCCTGGTCCTTAATCTGGTACGTTGGTCACACTGATTCCTTTCCTGCCTTTAGTACTTAATACCACCCAGCCATCTTGTTCTTTAGGTCTCCTTCACGGGCCACTGAAACCTAACCCAGCCGCACAAATCCAACCTGCTGGGCAGTCATTCACGTTCCACAGCATGCGGATTCTTTTCTCTCTTTCCCTAGCTGTCAGGGTGTTTTCCTAGCATGGGTCCAGGTGAGAGGCTATACTTAGGCAAAATCACATGTGCCTGGCCTGAGTTATATAAGATTACACAAGCTCTTCAGGCCAGGAGAGTAGCTTAGCCTTCTTTGGACTTTCCGAGGGGCATAGGACAATGGCTCAGGGAATTTCCAAGACTCCATTGCGCTTTTGGCACCACTTAATGATATCCTGTGCCTGGTCCCAGCTCTGAGGCTTCTAAGGGAGGGAAAGTAGCATGGGCATGGGAAGCCAGGGCGCTCGTATGATGCTCGTACCTTCCTTTCACTTTGCTTCGATGTCTGCATCTGTTAACTGTCAGCAAAGTGCATAGCCAGATGCCCAAATGCCTTTTTGGTAACAAGAACAGAGGTTCTTCCAACTTTAATGGGCACGGGAATCCCCTGGAGAATCTGTTAAAATGTGGACTTTTAACTCAGGTTTTGGATGGGTCTTGAGAGTTCAAGTTGTATATGTGTGTAGGTCAGAGGTCCACGTCAGGCATCTTGCTCAGTCACTCTCCACCTTGCTTCTGAGGCAGCTGCCCTCACTGAATCTCGAGCTCACCAACTGGGCTTCCTCAGTTCTGGGGGTGCAGGCTTGCACCACCATGCCCATGACCTTTGCATGTGTTGGGGATCCAAACACAGGTTCGTATGCTTGTACACCTGAGCTAGCTCCCCAGCCTGAAAGCTTGCACTTCTAACCAGTTTTCGTGATCTGGGCTTGGAGCTACAGAGGTTCAGCTCTGGGTTCTCAGCCCTACTGAAGACTCAGAATGGTCTGGCAGGGGGCTTCCCCACTCACTTCCTTCTTTTCCTGCTTCAATGATGTAAACACTGTATTTGTGTGTGTGTGTGTGTGTGTGTGTGTGTGTGTGTGTGTGTGTGTGCGCGTGCGCGTGCACAGATGGAAGCAGGCCACAGGTGCACGGTCAGGGGACGGTTTGCAGGAGTCAGTTCTCTTCTTCCACCGAAGGTTCCAGGGTTGAACTCGGGTCACCAAGCTTGGGTGGCAAGGGCTTTAGCACACCGCGCCATTTTCTTGCCTTTCCCCCTTTAGAAATCATGTCCCTGTTCTGTTCCCAACCTTTGCCTCACTTGATGGTTGGGGTCAGAGCACCCCAGCCATCCCCGCCTGATCACACCTGCCACTGTCCCGTGGACACTCCAGAGCCTCCTGTTGAAAGCCTTTGCTCTTAACTTCTCTTCCTCACCCCACGTAGACACAGCTGCCATTGCCCAGGGGGCTCACATCTCTTCTCCCCACCTCCCCTGAGCCGTCTTCAGGCACATCCCCTCCACACCTTTGCAGTCTCCCCGGGATGGCTTCCTTATCAGAGTTAAAAGGGGTAGTTTGGGCCTTGCAGAATCTCCCGCAGCAGATACAAAAGGGATGCCATCCATGTGTTAAGGTCCCCTGTCTAGATGACGTGGGAGTCAGGGACCCAATCATTGGTGGTGTTGAGGTGCAAGTACTGGGGGACATTGTAGGAATCCCACCAGACACAGACCTAGCCTAAAGGGAGATGTGGTGTGGCAGGGAGGGATGGGAAAATTCTGGAGGTGAAGAGGCACATGGTGAGTTAGGAGGTCTCTTAGTTTGATTTCTGTTGCTGTGATGAGCACCATGAACTTGGGGAAGAAGGGGGTTCCCGTGGCTTACACATTCCAATTACCATCCATCATTGAGGGAAGTCAGAGAAGGAACTCCTGGTGAGAACTGAAGTAGAGGCCATGGAGGAGTGCGGCTTACTGGCTTGATCCTTATGACGTGCTCAGCCTGCTTTCTTATACAACCCAGGACCACCTGCCCAGGGATGGCCCCACCCACCGTGGGCTGGACCCTTCTGTATCAATAAAGAAAATGCCCCAGCCGGGCGGTGGTGGCACACGCCTTTAATCCCAGCACTCGGGAGGCAGAGCCAGGCGGATCTCTGTGAGTTCGAGGCCAGCCTGGGCTACCAAGTGAGCTCCAGGAAAGGCGCAAAGCTACGCAGAGAAACCCTGTCTCGAAAAACAAAAATAAATAAATAAATAAATAAATAAATAAATAAATAAATAAATAAATAAATAAATAAATAAATAAATAAATAAATAAATAAATAAATAAAATAAAATAAAAAAAATAAAGAAAATGTCCCATAAGGTAGCTGAGTCTGCTCCTTCCTCCCGAAGTGCACTGCCATGTTCATGTCCATTCTCATCCGCCTCCCTCTTCTCTTCAAAGCTGGGGGCCCTTGGGGGCCCAGGCACAAACAGACCCTCTTCCTTGTTTTTCTGTTCCAGCTCAGCATACCCTGATGGTCTGTGTTGTCAAATCTATTCCGTCACTGGTTGTTTGTCTGTTTGCTGTTATTGTTTTGGTTTGGTTGTCTGCCTCAGATTCTACACAGGGGGCTGAATGGTGCTTTCAGACACAGTCACTCCTGTCCCCATAGTACCATCCCTAGTGGCTGTCATACAGAAAGTCACCAGTGATGCACATATGTTTAGGAATGTGACCAGAGGACTATGGCATGATTTGTCCACCACCAGGGCTCCCAGGGCTTCAGAAGAGGTGGTCTATGGTGGAAGGACACTCTCCTTCAGATGCCTCCTCACTCCTGGAACCCATGCTACAGCTCTCTGAGAAGTCTCACATGCCTTGTATCCAAGATGTGACTTGTTCAGTTGCTAGCCAGCAGAGAGCACCCTGGTATCAGCTAGAGTTTCTCTGGTTTCTAGTCCTTTTCCTCTTGATAGGAATTGCTAGTCCTGGGGCTATCTGCAGGAACAGCGTGCTCTCTGGGGATATCTGCAGCACTAAGGCGGCCTCTCTCAGGGTCAAAGCGCAGTGGGATCTCTCTGTACAGCCCGCTGTCTGTGGGATATGGAAGGAGGAGGGGCTGCAGAAACAGAAGAGCCTGGGTCAAGAACACAGGTCTAGTTGTGGCCTCACCCTCCAACTGGCTGTGTGTCTTGACACACTCACTCACACCTGGGCTGCTCTCCCACCGACATAGGGCAGGGCTCACTCGTTCCAGTCTGTTGTAAGGTACAGACCGACCCCAAACCATCCTAAGCTGAGCTGCTTCTCTTTAGACTAGCAAGGGCCTTGGACAACTGTGTTGGGAGCTTCCTTCACCCTTAAGGGATCAGATCACAGGAACACGACCTCCTCCCGATATAGACGGAGGCCCTGAAGTGGGCGTTTCCCAGCCCCTTCCCAGAAGCCCCCTGTTGCTCAGCAACAGGGATGAAGCAGCCAGTCCAGGAGAGATCACTGCTTTCCCAGATAAGGACAGGGGGTGCTGCGCCTGTTAACTATCAAAAATGCACCAGACAGCGAGCTATGCTGGTTCTGGGTACACGACAGTCCCCTAGCAGTAGGAAATGCCTGGAGAAGGGGAAGGGCCGCACATCAGACAGGAGCAGGACTTGGCAAAGTGCTGCAAGCCCCGAGAGGCAGGAAGCTTAGCTTCACAATACTGAACTCATTTTAAAAACGGGGCTGCAGGCTGGAGAGACAGCTCACAGATGAAGAGCACTTACCAGCCTTTCAGAGGACCCAGGTTGGATCCCTAGCACGCACATGGTGGCTCACAAGCATCTGTAGCACCAGTTCGAATGTTTGGCATCTTCTTTGGGCCTCTATGGGCACTGCACGCATGTGGTGCATAGATGTAGGTGCACCTAACCCGCATATAAAACCAATCTAAAACCTATCTGTTCGTTTTCTTAAAGGTACACTTACCAGCTGATTGATTGTTGGTTGTGTGTACATGGGTGTGGCCATGTGCACATGCATGTGAAGACAGGCGTGGTGGTCAGAGCACAACCTATCAAGGGTTAGTCTTTCTTTCCACAGTGTGGGTCTTGGGGATTAAAATCAGGTCTTCGGGGCTGGCAGCAAGTGTCTTTATTGGTTGAGTCATCTTACCTGCCCCTAAATCAAATTTGAAAAAGTGGATCTGACAAGTATGTCCCATCTGGTGAATCTGATTGGATGTTGTTTTCTTTTTTAAAAAATTGCATTGCGTGTGTGTGTGTGTGTGTGTGTGTGTGTGTGTGTGTGTGTGTGATGGGGGGACAGGGTATGCTTGTGCCATGGTGTACATGTGGAGGCCAGAGGACAAATTGTAGGAGTTGATTATCTTCCTCTACCCTATAGGATCCCAGAACGGAAATGATGTCAACAGGCTTGGGAGCAGGCATCTTGATGCACCTTGACCCACCTCGCCACCTCGCCAGCCCAGTTATTTTCTGGAACCAGCAAACATTAGATTTGAATATATCACTAACCTATCAAAGAAACGTGCTTCTGAACACAGTTTGGATAAGTGCAGTTTCTTGATTGTCCCAGGCTTCCTGGGGATGAAAAGATGACGTGCCAGGTGGATCTCAATAGTGATGAGACTGAAGGAACGACCATCAAGATGTAAGGACAAGGCACACAGCTCTTTGGGTTGGCCCTCTCAAGCTCAGGACCAATTCCTGACGTGATAAGGTTTGTTCCTGCATGATCTGTAGTCTGCCTGGTCTATTGAGTAGAGCCTCCTGCCATGAAATAAAAGCAGAGAGAGGCCACGGGACCCCAGCAGCAGCTTGACTAAAGCAAAATGAGGAAACCTTGGGGCTGACGACTCCTTTCCTTTCATTATTTCTAGATAATATCAGGTTTTTGGCCTCGAGGGAGCACACACAGAATGAGGCCTGGTGACCTCTGAGCAGGCAAGTCAGGGATAGCAGATGAATCCTGGAGCTGGTTTGCTGATGGCACAAATCAGCCACCGATGCTGTTGATCTTGTCTGCTGGTGAGAGAGGGTAGAGGTGAGCAGGAGCTGATGGTGTCCCAGAGGCGCCATATTGGGAGCAGTGAAGGGGCCAGAGCTGGACCTGTGGACATCTGGACCTGTGGTAATCAGGGCAGTGACGAGTCTCAGGTGAGCAGCAAAGATTAATGCCTGGAATCCACTGCCATGGCATATCCCTGCACGTCTACCTGAACAAGAGTGCCCGTATTGACGTCTTTAGGCTCAGCATTCACACTTCATCTGTGTGAGCCAGCTAGAGAGCTGGATGAAGCCAGGGTGCCTGGGTTCCCGCTGCAGGGTCCACAAGTGGGCTTCAAATCCGGCGTTCCTGGAGAGACATTTCTGTGGCCTTGCCACTTACCAGCTGTGCCATCTTGGAAGCACTGTCTAAATCTCTGTACCCTAGTCCTCTTTTCCGTCATGTGGTGATAATGGTCCCAACTGGATACCTGGGAGGTTTAAATGAGGTCATGAGCAGGAGCGGTTCATTTGAACCAGGTTTCTTTTAGTTATGGAGGTTCTTTCCAAGTTGGACTACTTGGGGAAAAAAAATACCTGACCTTGATAGCTGAGCATTTGATAATTACAGGGACTCATGAAGGGACATGAGGGGCTGATGAGCCCCATTCCCAGAAATCCCTGGGGATCTTGGTGTCTTGTGCCTGCATTTCTAGAGTCTACACTGTTTGCTCCTGGCAACAGGGTCTACAACTTAGCTGAGACGTTCAGAGAGGTCCCGGCTCCTGCTGGACGCCTCAGGTGGGGTTCAAGGGCCTGTATTTAGGGCAGACCTCCTTAGTGTCAGCACTGTTGGCATTGGAACTGAATCCTTTGTGTGGGGTGGGGTGGGGTGGGGTGGGGTGGGGAGGCAGGCTGTCCTGTGCATTGTAGGATGATTGGCGGCATCCAGCCTCCACCCGTTAGATGCGGATTACCTTCCATCCATCTTGTCCCAGTTTTAACAATGGAAACCATCTTTAGACCTTGCTGAATGTCCCCTGCGAAGGGAGGAGAGTCACCCTGGTGGAGAATCACCGCATTTCTACGTTCCCTCTGGGGTGAACCTCTGTAGTTGGTTATAGCTGCTGCGTTGTTGTTTGTTGAGATTTCTTAATCTTGCTGATTCCAAACTATGTCTGTGCACTGACTGAAGGCGCCCATTCAGTCCTGGGAAAGGGTATTTTCCTAGTTGAAGGGCTGTAGACTCTCCGAATCCCAGCCCCATTTGGAACAAAGGACTGGGTCCTGATCGGGGCTGCTCAGTTCTTGTATGTATGTAGGTCCTGTTATTCAAACCTAAAGGCTTGGAAGGCTATGAAGTGCTACACAACTGTTTTGGGTCCTTCCCTTTTGAGTAACATATGAGTCATGATCAAACAGCGAATGCTGTATGGGGAGCAGCAGCTGGATCCTCTCGTACAGTGAATGTTGTTTTGTTTGACTACAAACCTGAGAGCGCCTGGTTCCTCCCTCAAGTAGGCACCAGAACAAACAGTATGCTCTTCTGACGGGTTAGATGGGAGTCATAGTGGAGGCATCTGGAATCTCTGTTATTTAGGAAGTCTTTCTAAGAGCTCTGAGGCCCACATCCCGCTCTGTTGGCTGTGATGAGGGCCTCTGATGTTTTTGATGGTTGACCTTTGGAGGCTTGGCCCTACTCATTGGATGCTCTAGATTCTGGCTCTAAGAGTCAGGGTCAGATGCTGAGGACCCGAAGGAGCTCAGGGTCAGGCTGAGCCCTGTTTTGGTATCATTTCTGTCATTTCAGGAATGGGGTGCTCCTCTTGGACACGTTTATGCAGTGGTTCTTTTGCACTTTCCAGAATAAGGAAAGGCTTTCAGGCAAGCACAGATCCAAGATCCGGAGAGGCATTAGATGGGGACAAAGTATAGACAGTGCTCTCTCAAGCAGGGCAGAGATTCCCAGTGTGGGGTGATGGGGCCAAAGCAGCTTGACTCATTGTTGCTCGGAAGAAACAGATTTTTGAAGGATGTTTCTAGACTGGTCAAAGAGTTTTTTTTGTTTTTTTTTTTTTGTTTTTTTTTTTTTTTGGTCACAAGCCTCAGACTATGGCATTTATACACCTTTTTGGACAGACAGAAGATCTAGTTTAGGGAAATGTAGGTTATATTTTCTCAGGGAGATCTAAGGGGAACAATGGGTGGAGCTGAGAAAGACAAAAGAAATTCTGCATCCCCGGTGGGGTGAGCATCCTTATCACGGAAATCACCAGTTACTTGTGCCATGTAACTTTTCGGAAGAGGTGGGTTCCTGCACCTGCTGGGGGTGGGCAGCTTGGACCCATTGGGGGCTGTGTGCTGTAGTGGAGGCTTCCGGTGGGTGACCTTAGGATGTGGTGTTGGAGGCTTCTGATCGAGATAGGACTCCTCCCAGAAGAGAAAGCCCTGAAGGAGGGCTGGTTGCCTGGTTGCTGTTTGTGGTGAGGTGCTGCCCTGCTCTGGAGGTCAGGATAACTCTGTGGTGGTGATGCTGTCTTCAGGACATCTCTGCTGATTGCTGCTGATTGGAGGGTGTAGGGGATGCTCTCTCTCTCTCTCTCTCTCTCTCTCTCTCTCTCTCTCTCTCTCTCTAGAGATGTTAGATTTTTC